CCCCCCCCCCCCCAGGAAAAACACACACAAACAGTCTAAAATCTGAAAGCAATGTCTTCTACTTTGAGAAAATAGCATGTTTTATAACTGGAGAACTGGCAGGCTTATAGTGTTGTTTGTTAAATGATTTCTTATAATGAGGACATTTTAAGCAAGCTCGTCCACATGAAGTTTGGTCTATTTCATACTTCTTATTACTCTCCACATCTTGCTGCTTGATTTTTTTGGAAACCCTTGAGAGACCCAAATTGGATAGGGCCTGTATTATAACTGAACATCAGCATAATCAAGATTAATTTTTGTTATTGTGTACATGGTTGTTTTTTTTAAATGCAGTTTAATTGAGGTCACTGTTATCCTCAATGGCCGATGGGTACTACAAATGAATGTTGTAAAAGAAAAAAACTATACCTATTGCTCAACATTTGGTCTGTTAAAATGGTAAGGTGAAATTTTCAGAAATCCAAGAGTCTCATTAAAAGGCAATGGTATTTAGGCTCCAAAGTCACTAAGGCATTTATTGTGGGAGAATCTCTTTGAGATTGTATGCATGCATTCATGTGTGCACCGTGCCAGATCCTCATTTCTTGTATGTCAGCGTAACTCCACAGACTTCAGTGGTGCTAAAGAGATTGACATCAGATCTGGACCAGTATAACTTTTAAAAAAATAATTTATTAATTTCCTGAGAATTTTAAAAAAATCATTGCTTTGGGTTAGGCAGAAAAAAAAGAGAAGTCCTATTTCAGCAATTAACCCGATATTCCTGGGCTCTTAATTTCTATGAAGTCAGTATAATTTGATCTATTTGATATCTGTTCCTGTTGCCACTTCGCTCTGTTGATTTGTTTCACTATAAAGACAGCTATGCATACTCAGGGAATAAAATTTCAGGTAAGCAGCTCTGAGCAAGGAAAAAGCTTCTGCAAATTCAGTCGCTACTTACCAGCTTAAAGGGGACAGTGCACAATAAATACTATTTTTTTTCTTCAGATTTTAATTTCAGAATTACTATTATTTTAATCCATTATAGTTAAATATTTTAAAATCTATACTTTTTATGCAGTTAAAGTTAAATTATTTTGTATTGCCGTATAAAATGTATAGTACAGAAGAGATTATTAATATTTAACCTTTTGTCTGCACTAAAATGTGTACAGTTCTGAAGACAAACTTTGAAATAACTTGGTGTTCTCCATAATGGATTTGTTCAGTTTACAAATAAAATGTATTTTTTTCTTTTTTAAAGCTTGGAAATGTAAATTAACACTTGCTGTGGATTTTGTCTTCTGCTTCAGTACTTACAGTAAATATTCAGAAATTGAGAGTAAGAGTCTTTGCAGGATCAGGACTTACACACATCCCTAATCTTGCATGCTGCATATACTCTTCATTGACATTTTGCTAACAATTTTGTTGTGTATAGTTTACTTATATAGGTTGGATCTCCCTGGTTCGGCACCTCAGAATCTGATGATTTTTGCTGGACCAGGAGAGGTCATTTCTGCCCCTCCCCAATTCCCTCCCTCCCCCCGACCACCAGTCCCCTGCAGCCCTGGCCTCCTGGCCGGCTCCCTCCTCTCACTGGCCCCCACTCCCTATCAGCCCCTGCTGCCCTATTGAGCAGTCTGGCCGC